ACACTAAAACAAACGCAAACTTGGAATATTAGTGATACAAGTCAAAATATGCACTACAATCATGCTAGATGAATTTCAGCTAAAATTTTGCATCCCCAAACTTAAACCTCCTATTGGCATGCCTTATTACATAGCGGAAATAGGAAATAAATGGGAAAAGACGCAATGCTAAAACCTAATAGATGTGAAGTTTCATGTCATGGGTGAGAAAAGTGCTGAATGAGGCTGTCTGCAACACTATACAGAAAACAAATAAACCCTATGGTGCTGCTGAATGACAATGCATCACGATCTTCAACCTATGGCTGCTTGTGCCATCTGAACTGAAAGAGGCATTTGCTTATGTAAAGTATGGAGCAAAAGGGTTCACTCTGAGGATGAAAAAACTCTTAACAACGGATCGATTCCCAGAGTTGGAGAAGAAGAAAACTGAGAGGTAGAAAAAGGGAGTGGGGAATTTCGACTCGTCTAGTTTCTTAGCTTCTGGAATGGCCAGCATGTCAGGCATCTTTCTCCATCACATAATAACCAATAAAACTCTGCACTAAATTGGCAATGAATTTTGGGAAACATTTTTCTGAACGAGAATGAATTTGGAAGACTAAATTGGATTTTTATTAAGAAAAATCCTCTTACCGAACAATCTTTGCAGTTAACCAAGTTCACTGCATAACATGGTCATGCCTGGCTAGTGGCTAGTAACTGCACTTGTTTTCAACAGAGTAACTGCATTTTAGCTGATCATATAATCCAATATGCATAATAAACTATACTACTTTTTTCTAAAAACCATACCGGCCTTTGAACGGCACCATGATCCTGCTGTACCAGCATTTGCTGGGTGGAGTGTTCTATCGGGCCATCCAAACTGCTGCGACCTGCATCAAAATCCTAGGCGCACCAATCGAAGTGGGGCACCAGATGCTGGAAGGCATTGAGGAGTATGTACAAGCTACCAATCGAAGTGGGGCACCAGATGCGGGAAGGCGTGGAGGGGGGCGCGCGGCGGCCGGGGTGGGCGGGGAAGTAGCGGCGGCGCCGGCCCTGGCCCCGGTCGTGGTTCCGGCGGCACAGCTCGCAGTACTCGAAGCCGCGGCCGCCGCCGCCGCCGGTGGCATAGCGGCGGGGCGGGGCCTGGTCTGTCGCGCGCGCGCGCACGCGTTTGGGCTTGAGCTTTCGGATTCTAGGTTGCAGGGTTGAGCTGCGCGCAGATTTGGGGGAGGCGCAATGCTCTAGCAGCGCTTGGAAACTCGGCCATACGGCAAGCAAACGGCTCGCCGGAGTACAGACCACAGAACAGTAGCGACAGTCCGCAAGGCAAAAGGAAAACTTGCGTCCATCGTCGCTGCTCCGCAATCTCTCTCACCACAGCCTCTCTCCCATGAAACAAACATCATGGGACAAAAGTCTCTCCCGCTTACGTTCTGCCGCCAAGGATGGAGCTATAGGGACAAGGGTCTACATCTGCCTGGGACAAATCTGCACAAGTTTCAAGCACCTGAAGGGACTGGACTGTATCTCTGCATCTTCGCCTGGCCTACGGGGTTAGTCCTCCTGCTGTTCCGCCGCCCTCAGTGGACTGGGACCTGTGGGGCTTGATAATGGAGGATCGGCTCCTTGACCTGCGACATATCACAGGTGGAAAAAGCTTTTAGTTCATGCAGCATCCAACTGTTAACTGATGCAACTGGCGTGGTGATGAGTATGTCGCATGTCCAATCGACGACTCACTTTTCAATCAATTTTAGTTAACAGTTCATGAATGAAAGTGAAACATCGTGAATTGGCATTCAAATTCAAGGGTTAAAGGGGCGGACCTTCATACACTTCAGATCTCCACTGCCGATTTTGGCTCCGTCAGTAGGTGAAACATTGTGCATGGTGACCTCTTTCTCCATGTAGGCTGTTCCGGGATCAGAAATCTGAAATGATCATGTCAGTGAAGAGCAACATAGCATGTGGTAAGCAATAGTGTTAATTACATTGACCTTGATAACAGCATAACCATCCTTGCTTGCCCTGCAAAGTAGATCGTCATTCAGCAGCTTCTCCAAAACATCTGGAAAAGTGAGTGAGTCGTCGATTTAGTAATTCAAGACTTGACTAAGTGCAGAAAGAATGCATCTATTTTACACGATTAATCTGACAAGCACACAGAATTGTTTCTGCATTACCTTCCACCATTTCCTGCACAACATTCAACAAGCAGTTGTTAGCAAGTGTATGAAGCCATGATAGAATCAGCACAGCACAGCACAATACAACTTAACCGAGATACAGAATGTCAAAGTTACCTTTTCTGTCATACTCTCCAAGCTTCTCACCAGCGTTCTCATCATCTTACAAGCAGAGCACCTAAAAAGGAAACCGTTGCCATGTCAGGATATGTACCATTTTACCACTGGTTACAACTGACAATGTTAATGTTGACAATAACATGCATGTATGGACCCAATATAAGCAATTCGCGAACTGATCTGCAGGATAAATGATAAAACTGCACTGAAACATCAACTATCTCACCAGTGCTAGAATTCTGCAAGTCACGCAAGGAAGCTAACAACAGCCTATAAATTCAACTAGCACTAATTGCCAACAGGTGAGCAGCTCCTCTGTAACTTAACTTCTCACACACTATCATAGACAAAAAACATATAACTGAACTTCTATGCACAAAATCATACCATTCTGCATGCACAAAAGACTAACAATAAAAAATGAATCATAGCACCCAGAAGGGATATCTAAAATAGCACCTCATCTGATCAGGAGTGACTTCTGCTGCATTTGACTTGAACGTGGCACTATTCTTTTTGCTCCCTGTGCGACTCATTTCATTGCAACTTCCTCCCCGTTTGAGTTGGGGTAGCTGTGTGAGACTGCATGATGATTATGACACATGATAAGCAACTGTAGGACAAACGCATAGAGAAAGCGCATCTAAAACATATAATCATAAAACAGTAAACATCTTGCCTTTCTTCATCCAATGAATCAGTCTCTTGGGGTCAGCATCCATATGCATCAGGTTCTTAAGCTTCATCTCTGCAACAAATAAAAGGTTGTTTGAGATACTGAGCTAAAAAATTCAAACTGAATGAGTGAATGTAGATAGATACTGGGCACCGATCCTAACCTACTGCCAGCTCAGACTTATCATTGAAGTACTTCTCAGGGAATAGGCCTCTGATGTAGCTGATGTTGTATATAGCAATCCGGAGCAAGCTCCTTGTCTGTTTGGTCAATGGATCACTAACGTTATCCAAATAGTTGTATGAATAACTTAAAATCACACACTATGCTATGCTTTTCACCAGATCATATAGATACTTAATAAATTATCTCAATGCTCCAGCAATAGAAAACCTCAACTGGTATCAAATTGTGCTATTGATAAACATGCTCAGTGAAGCACATAATTCACAAAAAAAATACATCTATATTTTCCGATACTGATTTATTCAAACACATACATATACAATAAAGATCATGTAATATATTTTTTGATTAAACACCAAGAAAGTTTGCCCGTGCAAATGTAGGATCATATACATATTGGTACTGATCATCAAATCTGTGAAGTGAAGAGAGATGACAACATTGCAACTCAGGGCAAACAGTTACGACCGAAATGTAAACAATACATATTTATAGCATATAGGAAATGAACACCCAGGCACCCAGCTTTTCAAAGTGAAAGTTACCGAAACCTGATGATCAACCAATAATCCTGCGAGGTATTTGTCAAACCACTGCCAATTACTAAAATAAGGTAATATATCTAACAAGGAGACTACAATTTCAGAGTTGGTTTCCAAACATGGCAATAGAAGTTCACTAAACACAGAGAATTCCTAAAGCAGAACATATATTCAAAATCTCACAGCATAGCAAAAGAAACAACATACTGAGCCGTCGTGTTCGGCCAGCTTCTGGAGAAGCGCGGAGGCGGAGGACTTCCGAACGGGCGCTTAGATACCACAGAGGAAGCTCTTCTGATTCCAATCTTGAAGAAAAGTATGACGCGCTTGGTACAAAATGCAAACCCCCCACAGAGAGACGTCTATATACTACTCCAATGGAAGCATTTGAACAGCAGGACTAGTACAGCCCAACTCAACCGAAGATGACACAAGTTTTTCCTGATGTTCCAAAGCAAGTTTGGAAATACCCAAGGCAGTAGATAAAGGATCCGCTGTGTTCCCCCTTTTGAAGTTACGAATTGAAAATTGCCTGCTACTCAACTAATTTCAGCAATGGGAACAAAACTAAACTAATTTCGCACATACGGAGTGAACTCGGAACACTGAAAGTCTCTAGACGCTTCTAACGCACCAGCTGAATCGATGCAGTAGGAAAATGCCATAATTGTGAACGAACCAATTTCATCGACTTGGCACGTGTTAATCACATCTCCAGCGAATTCAAATGAGGCTATATCATCGACTTGTGCCACGCCACCTCCGAGGTCGCGACGGCCGCCATCGCCGTAGGTGCGGGCGGCGGCGGGCGTGTGGCGGAGGAGGGAGAGGGAGAAAGGGCGGGGAGATTGGGATTTTGGGGTGGGTCCCGTCTGTGGACCTGTGTTTAGTCTACCTGTATAAATTCTTTGGCCCCTGTACTTCCGCTAGGGTTGAGGGAGCCACTCGGCCCTCAGACGGATCAACGAAAGGCAGTTCATTTTGCAAAAACACAAGCCAATCAGCAAATCGCCTACCAAGGCACAATTCAATCAACATCAGCAAACGTTGCGACGACATTGTCCACACCTGGGAATGAACACATCAAATGACAACCAAGGAAACATCTATAATGCTACGAGAGTATGAGCTATGTATCAGTCTTTCACAGCACCTACGGCTAGGAGACTACCACATGGGAGGGAGCACAGTTTCTAGAGGAATCCACATCCGCTAGCCGCGACCTTGGGCAGAAAAGAAACATGGTGTAGTTTGATCAGATGGGTCAGAGACGGCTGAAGCAGACTTGCAGGCCACCGCCTACTGCCTGATTTTCTTGGAGCTGCTGCATTCAGGGCACTTGTAGTGCTTTATGTGATCCGCCTTGGCCGGGGTTATCCGCACGCATTTGCCGTGGAACCACCGCTCGCACATGTCGCAGCCGATCCAGAACTCGCTTGCATTGTATATGCCGTTGCAGCTTCCGCAAAAGGTTTCACTGTGTTCTTCGTCATTGTCGTCGTCTTCTTCTCGAGCAACTGCTCTGGAGTTCTTTGGGCGGACATCATCAGTTCGTTGCTGCACATAACAAATTGCAATTCAGTTCGAGTTACGTTCGGAGATGCGCTCCCAGTTTCGGAATTTCCAACAAACACAAACTACTGCAGTGGAGGGGTCAGTCAGCGTACCTTTGGCTTTGATGAGTGCCTGGATTTGCCACTGCTATCAACACCAGACCTGTCCCTGTGCTTCCTGTCAACCATACTTTCATACACGTTTGGAAGATCGTTGATCATGCTGAACAAGCGCTTCCTGGCAGACACAAGGCACAGAAACGTTGGATTGGCAACAAGGTGCAGCTGAAGCTTTCACACCAACTTGATATACACATTATAAGAACTCCATTAAAGGGGAGAACATTTTCTTAGGACAAAAAGCGGCCAAGAGAAAAAGAGAACAGTAATAACAGAACAACAAGAAGGGATTTGCGGAAATACTCAAAATGGCCTTTTGAAAAGAAAGAAAAAACATGGAACCAGTTTTCTTGTGCAATCAGTAAATAGCTAAAGCTAGGCATAAACTTGACAGCTACATGTGGCAAGAACTAAATAACAGAACACTTAACAAAGAATACATCAAGAACAGTATAGCAGGTGCATGGAACCGGTTTTGCATCCAATCATTTGCCCTGTGTAGTTCTTTTTCCACACAATATAGGCTTCACACCACTTTCAATATAGATGAGCAGAGTGGGCCTTTATCTTTAGTGCTAACACAAGAGAACGGAGTCACGGACTGTAAATATATTACTAGCATGGCAGGCCACCAACATTAATGTACTAGGTATGTATACAAGGAAAAAAATCAATGAAGCCTTTTGAAATAATTTGTTGCAAAAAGGAAAAAATTGCTCAAGTGAGCAAAGTACGAATTTCACTATGATATGATGACTAAGATAAGGGTACATGAACATTCAAGTGAAAACGAAACCCTATTATAAGTAAATTGTAGAACAAACAATAAAATGGGATCACTAAAGAATATCTGTTTTTTTAAGGATTCTCATGGTCCAATTGTTAATTTCTAGAGATGACGAGTGACAAACTGACAAGATGTAACAGGGTCCATGAAGGAGTGCAATACTGAAGTGAAGATTTTTAAGTGTTTTCTTTTATTCCAGCTAGCTAAATTTCGAAGGTCAAAATTATGCACATTACAAACACAGGACCCAGAAGCTGCACAAGGTATATGAAGTACTTAGGCAGCAAACTCTCACTGTAGTGTGGGGGAAAAAGGTGCAAGGTGCACAAACTAAACACACAAGTTAATGTAAGAAAGATTCTGGAATTATGGCTTTACCAGCATGCTTGAACAAGAAATAAATTAAACAATGGGCATTGGTTGCTATTAACTCCATTTTGAGATTTAAAAAAACAAATAAGCCTGGTTTTCATCTTTCCCGCAGAAAAAAAAAACTGGTTGTCATTCAGTGTACAGACTATATAGAGAAACAAAATGAACTCATAATATGCTGCCCCATAAAGGGTCCACAAAAAAGAGCAAGATGACAGAAATAAATAGCTCTGCAATTAACATGACAGAACTTCAGGAAGGAATGGTCCCGCCACCAATATAAGAGCCTTCTTCCTTCTTTGTGAGAAGAATCTTGGAACCCTTTAGAGTTTTACTCATAGATAGATGGCACTTTGATCGTCGGTCCTACATAGCTAAGCTTAGAACAAGTTGTGGAAATGTGTGGCACAGTTCATCACCACAAACATAAAAATAGGCTGGACATTAAAATTCTTTAGAGCAGCCGAAACTGGGAACTACACAGAAGCACACTGTCCATTATTTGTGTATATATGATTTCTGAAATAAAGGGAAAAGGAATAGTTGCTTCTTACTACGCCAAACCACCTTTATATTTACTTAAAGCCTTTGACAAGATGTTTTGGCCATTCAGCATGATGATACTGTAAAAGCCCTAAAACTGCGCATTTGATGATGTGGTAGGTCATGATATAAATTGTATGTTTCCTGTTTGCTTCGTATACACATTACATCACTCAGTAAATGCACAACTTCTTCAACTACTACAACCCCATAGATGTAAATCAATAACTCTGCAATTAACATGGCAGGAACTTAGAAAGGAATGGCCCTGGCCCGCCATCAATATAAGACCCTTCTCCTTTCTGGGAAGAATATTAGAATCTTTTGAGTTTTTACTCATAGATAGATGGCATTTTAATCTTGGTCTCTAAATAGCTAAGCTTAGAGCAAATTGTGACAATGTGGCATAGTTTGTCACCGCAAACACAAAAATGGATATAGAGATTAAAATTCTTTATAGCAGCCGAAACTGCAAATGATGGAACTACACAGAAGCACGCAATCCTTTATTTGTGTATATGATTTCTGAAATAAAGTGAAAGGGGGTAGTTGCTTTTCATATGGCCTAACTAACAGCTGAACCCTATGGATTATATCGCCATCAAACCCAGAGGGTCACAGAAAGAAGGGAACAAGTAACTGCAAACCCAATAAAGCAAACTGAAACAAAAAGCATGACCCTCCGATACACTCAAAGCAAAGAAAAGAAACAAAGAGAGGAGCACAAGATACATGTGCACATGCACACACATGCACCAACCACCAAGTGAAACAAAATAAATGCGCCATCAAATCGGTCACGCGTATCCCAACTCCGCAAGTCACCTAGCAGTCAAGCTAAAGTACTCTATCGAAAAAGACCACATTTCATCTTGCCTAAACTGTCAATCAGGAGTAACATAGAATAGACAATTTAAAAGCTAATCAATCGTCAGAGGCACCAAGCTGAGAGAAATCGTCAGAGGCAGTAAAATTACCGTTCGTTGGCGGTGAGCGGCGCCCCGAAGAAGAAGGCGACGGAGAGGAGCCACGAGTCGGAGTGGACGGCGACGAGGGAGAGCCAGTCGCGGCGGTTCATGCCGTTGCGGGCGAAATTGATGCCGAGGGCCGGCTCGGGCAGCTCGGGCGGCACCTCCTCCGCCGGCAGCGACACCTCCCAGGTCCCGTCGGGGTGGCCGTAGAGGCAGAGGTTCTCCTTATCTGCGGGCAGAGAGAGAGAAAACCGAGGCCCATCCAGTCAATCCCCGTCCGGATCCCACCGCCCGGCAG